CTTGATGGCACATAACAACAACAAACAATGTATCAATATGTATATTCTACATTTATAATATTTCTGTAATTTCAAATTTGATACATACAAAGACTTGTATAGGATTTATTTTGCTTTCTCCAGACGCATGATTTCCTATTCCAGTTGACTGATTAATATTTTACTATTTTTAAAAATTAGTCAACCTATAATTTATATCAGTGATATTCTTTTAACATTTTTTACAGAGATCTTTTGACTTTTCAAAATTAATATTTCATAGTTTGATAGTTTTTGCAAAAGCAAGTGATTTATTTCATATTTCATGGATTTTTTTTCATATTCCATCATTGTTTAAATGTTCATCTTGCCTCAAAAGTTAGTCTGTCATGGAATAAAAAATGTGTTTATTATATGTTAAATGTTTAATAAAAATCTATATTTAATTGCTGTTATATTAAATAGTGCAGTTCATTTTTTATATGTCTAGAAATACTCAAATGATTTGTAACCTTCTAAAATGAAAAGAGAAAAAGTATTATGTTGTGTATCATCTAGTCAGAACTGACCCATAGTTGGCTCTCTAGTGGGCTTGCAAAGGCAATAAATCATAAGGGAGGAAATTGCCCATCTTTCTACCATGGAGCAGTTGGTGAATGTGGATAGAGCCACATTTATTTCCAAAGCTCAACATTTCCAGACTTTAGAATATTGTCATGAAGTTTGGTAAGCTAAATTCCCACTCTCCGCCCCCATGCAAATGTTCCTTGATACAAAGCATTCTTCTTTTTAAATAGGTCATCGTCTGATCTTGACTGGGTACTACGGATTAGTTTATAACCTTGTGATAATATCTTCAGAACTTCGGGGAGATGAGGAACAGGATGGACTTAGAAACCTTACATGGCAAACATTACAGAAAACAAAGCTTTATGAGAAAGATGAACGAATTCTTATTGCAATAAAAATGGCTCAGGTAAGATTGGCAGTTCTAACAGCCAGAGGCATATTTGTCATTTATCTCTATGGAAAAGAAATGTCTATAGTATTAGTGATCCACAGATGATAAAAATATTTTTGTAAATTAACACTATTCTTATTTAAAGAGAAGTAGTTTAACAAGCAGATGGTGGCATTGAATCATGCATTTAAAAGAAAGATAATGAATCTTTTAAATAAAGATTTATTTTTTTAGGACATCAGAATTAAAGTAAGATGTCAAAGCCTAATTCATCACTTTCTTTGCACACAAATTTTCCGTTATTTACAACTTTGTCTTCCATTCCAGTTTTTCAATAGTAAAGAACACGTTCTTTTGAGAACATACCATTGCGTAAGTTTTGAACTGAAGTTTTGTCCTGAATTACTATGTTTCTATCAAAGAAACAACACATAATATTGGAAAATCTATGTGGCAAGAATGTGGCAAATAAATATGAAAGGGAATAAAAGTGTAAAGGAGCATAGCACATACTTTAACTTGCGGTTTGTTGGTAGGATGAAGTATGGAAGAGACCCATAGAGGCACGGCCAATACTTCATGGTAACAACATGCAAAAAAGATGGACATGGTCTAATACTGAAAAGAAATATTAAAAGTAAATTAACAAATATTCTTTTAACAATGTGTTGTTTGTTGCCATGGATTCAACAACAACTCATAGTAACTCTATGAAAAAAAAAGACCTGGACCTTGCCCTATCCTGCACTGGTAGAATGATCTCCGTCGTGATCTCCAGCCCATCATTGCTTTCACTCTGAGTATCTCATTTAGGGTCATTCTCTCTTTCACTAGTCCTCTACCATTTTCAGCATTTCTTTTCCCAAGGATTAGCCTTTCCTGATACTATGTCTGAAATGTATGCGATGAATTTCAACCATCTCTTCCTCTAAGGAACATTCTGGTTACACTTTCTCCTGGACGTATTTATCTGTTCTTTTGTTAATCAATGGCATTTTAAATATCCTTAGCCAACACCATAATGTAAAGGCATCAGTTCTTCAGTTTTTCTTTTTCACTGTTGAACTTTAAGATGCATAGAAAGCAATTGAAAAGACCATGGCTTGCACCAGGTGAACCTTAACCTTTAAATGGACATTCTTGCTATTTAGCCCTTTAAAAACATGTGTGGAAGCACATTTCTCCAGTGTAATATTTTGACTTCTTGACTGCTGCTTTCATAAGTATTGCTTGTGGATTCAAGTAAAATGAAGTCATTGAGAACTTAAATATCTTCTCCACTTATTATGATGTTTCCTATTGGTCCAATGTTGAGGAGTTTTGTTTTCTTGATGTTGAGATATAACCTAGATCAAAGATTATAGTCTTTGATCTTTTCCAGTAAGTGTTTCAAGTCTTTTGCACTTTCTGCATGCAAAGTTGTGTCAACTGCATAACACAGGTTGATTATAAGTTTTCTTCCAAATCTGATGCTATCCTCCTCTTTACATCTTCCAGCTGCTTAAATTATTTGCTCAGCACACAGATTGGATAGTATGAAGAAAGAATAAAGCCCTGACACAGAGCTTTTCTGACTTTAAACCATTCTGTGTTCCCTTATTATTTTCGGAAGACAGCTTTTTAGTTTATGCATAGATACCATATGAGTGCAATTAAATGTTTTAGGAGCCACATTATTCTCAATGTTATAAATAATTTGTTGTGATTCATACAGTAAATGTCTTTCCTTCATCAATAAAACAAAAGTAAATGTCTCTGATAATCTCTACTTTCAGCCAAAATCGATCTGATATCCACAATGATATCCTATGTTTTTGGTTTTGTTTTCAAATAACAGTTGATGGAACTATAATAATTGTGTCTCTATGTGAAGTTAACCAAATCAACCAAACTAATTTCCATTGAGCTGATTACACTACATAGTGGCCTTATAAGCACAAAGTATTATGACCCAGTAGGTTCCCCAAGGTTCTAACTTTTGCAGTAACAATATGCGTTTTTTTTCATATGGATGAGCTTGTGGATTCCACCACTACTATTTTAGTTAGCAGCCAAGTTTATGACCTTTTCTGAATTCAGCTTGAATTTTTAAGCAGTTTTTTTCAGTGTTATGTTCCAACCATTTTGAAATATTTTTTTAAATTTTGAAATATTAAGCAAGATTTTATTTGCATAGGATATTAATGGTATTGATCAATAATTTTCTCACTATGTTGTATCACCATTTTGAGAATGAAAACAAATATGGATATCTTCACTTGATTGATCTTCCAAATTTGTTGTCATAGAATAGGAGCATGTCTAGGGCTACTTCTGTTTACTGAGGCATCTGAGTGGGTAATTTTTTTGGCAATGCCATCAGAGAAGCTTAAATTTATTTCATTGCTACAATTGGTTCTTGATCAGATGCTATTTCCTGTAATAGTTCAGTGTTAACCACTTATTTTTATTTCAACAACTCTGTATTCCTTCCATCTTCTTTTGATGCTTCCTGCACCAGTCTTGTACCCATACAATCCTTCAGTATTGCAACTTGAGGCTTGACTTTGTCCATCAGTTCTTCCAGTTTGAGAAATTCTGAGCGTGTTCTTACCTTTTACTTTTCTATATCCAGCCTCTTTTACATTTCTTTATAATACTTTGCTTTGTCTTCTTGAACTACTCTTTGAAATCTTAGACACATCTTTCTTAATCATCATTCTTTTCCTATTATGGCTTCTTTTTATTCTATTCCTAGTTCCAGAGTCTCTTGTGACATTATTTTTGGTCTTTCTTCCCCTTCTTCTGTCTTTGTAATGACCTTTTCCTTTCTTCATGGTTGATGTTCTTGTTGTCAGGTCATTAGTGTTCCATCAAATCAATTCTTGAGATGGTTTTTAAAATTCATTTCTGAAGACCGACATCAAGGATATCAGCCATGAAGAAAGGAAGAAAAGTCATTATAAAGACAGAAAAAGAGGGAGAAAAGATGACAGACCTTGCTTGCTGAAACTGAAGAGGACCTGGAACACCTGCTGCAGAAGGTCAAGCACTATAGTCTCCAGTATGGATTGAAGCTCAACATCAAGAAGACAGAGATTCTCCCCACTGGGCCAATTGGCAACACCATGATAGATGGTGAAGAGATTGAGGTTGTTAGCAATTACAGCTTGCTTGGATCCACAATCAACATTCTTAACACTAGAAGCCAGGAAATTAAAAGATGAATTGCATTGGGAAAATCTGTTGTCAGGGACCTCTCCAGAGTTCTACAGAGCAACAATGTCAGTGTAGAGTCTAAGGTGGGCCTAATCCAGGCCATGGTTTTTGCAAATAAGAAAAATATGTTTTGGGTCTTGTGCACTTGTTTTCATTTTTTTCCCCTTCAATTTGAACTATATATGAGTTTTGTTATTCTTGTATACCGTAGAGTATGAACTGACCCATAGCTGACCCTCTGGTAGCTTTTAAGATTAATTACAGCTTTTCAGTTAATTACACAGGAGGAGATTGCCCAACCTTCTCTCATGAAGTAGCTGGTGGACTTGACCTATGTGCCTATGGGCTTTCAGCACAGCTTCTTGCCACTGGGTCACAAGAGCTTCCTTATATATCAGTAGTTCAATTTAAACTACTACCATGAGTGATCCTGCTGATGTTTGAAATACAAGTGATATAGCTTCCAGCATCATAGCCATGTGGAAGGCACATAGTATGGCAAACAGATGAGTGGTAGCTACAGTTTAAACTTTTGTACTATAGGTGACACGCATTCAAGGTTAGGATACTAACTCTAAAGGAAAGCCTTATCAATTGTGGAGAAAAATCTTTGTTTCCTTCAGGCCCCATATTACCTGGAAAACTCTATATGTTTTGGCCCTCCCATGAAATCAAGGAGTTTTGTCTTGCAGGGATCCTGGTCCAAAAATAAACATTTCATTCCTGGTTATTATATCTTCTTGGTACTGAGACCTCCTTCCTTGGCTCACTTTCCTCCTTTTTTTGTCTCTACTGTTGTGTTGTTGTTGTTGTGTGCTGTCGAGTCGTTTGCGACTTATAGCGACCCTATGTACTACAGCCCTAAACCCTGCTCTATCCTGTAGCAATCGCATTGCCTCTGACACACCCATCCCGATTACCCCAGTCACTGAATCAATCCACCTCATAGAGGGCCTTCCCCTCCTGCGCTGTCCCTCCACCCTACCAAGCATGATGTCCCTCTCCAAAGACCTGTCTCTCCTTACAACATGTCCAAAGTATGTCAGACGAAGCCCCAGAATCTTTGCCTCCAAGAAGTAGCCTGGTTTAACCCTCTCTAGGATGAATCTGTTTGTTTTCTTGGCAGTCCATGGTACTCTACTAGAATAAAAAATATTCAAAAGTATACCCTAGAAAAACTCTCCTTATATCCCTTTAGGTCTATGGATTAAAGTGTGTGGCATTCTCAACACTCTTCATGCTTTTACAGCTATTTGGCTTATCACATCATGGGAATCATTGCATAACTTCTAGATTATTACATAGGTTTGTTTTGATATGAACACAAGTTTATCCATGAAATATCTAAGCTTAAAGCAGATGATATTAGGTGGTGACACTCAACTTCATGTGTCTAGAACTTGGTACTAAGTAGTTCAAAGTGAAAAAAAAATCTTTGAAGAGTAATGGTTTTATTTTAGAGTTATGCCTTTTAGTGTTTACTTATAAGTATTCTGATGTACCCCCAAATAATCCAGGATGTTGTTGTTGTTGTTATGTGCCGTCGAGTCGCCTGCGACTCATAGCGACCCTATGTACAGCAGCCCTAAACTCCGCTCTGTCCTGTGCCAATCGCACTGTCTCTGACACTCCCATCCCAATTATCCCAGTCCCTGAATCAATCCACCTCATAGCGGGCCTTCCTCTCCTGCGCTGTCCCTCCACCCTCCCAAGCATGATGTCCCTCTCCAAGGACCGGTCTCTCCTCACAACATGTCCAAAGTATGTTAGACGGAGCCCCAGAATCCTTGCCTCCAAGGAGCCACCCGTTTTAACCC